CTTACTACTAGGAGCAAGAAGCTACTAGGAACAAAGGGCATCGCTACTAGGCACCAGGCATGTTTTCCCGTTTGTCAAGATAGAAAAACAAAGTATATGTATATACAAAATTACACAAATTATACTCAATCACCCTTATATAATAAATGTTCCCTATTGCACCTTTGTTGATGGGCCCAGGACTCAGGTCCATGTTTATTCGTCTGTATTTTGTGTCAGGTGTGTATTCACATGTATTCACCACTTCGTTGGGTGCTGCGCGCCAAGGTTGGCGTGGTCCGGTAGCTGAAACGCATCGCCACGAGCTTGGACTAGCCAGCATTCCCGTGGTGGAAACACAGGCTGGGCCATATTTCGCGAGAGGAGATGTGTTCCAAGCGCTTTAACAACATGGCAAAGCAAAGCCCTCACTGCCGGATTCTAAACATACAGTACTGGCTGAGTGTGGAAGATCAAACATGTGTCACTGGCCAAACATGATCACTGGACTGGGAGAAAGGTTATCAAAGCCACAATCACTCAAGTTTCTGCCCTCACACGGCCACTTTGGGCTCACAAGGATGCTCTTGGCCTTGGGGCATCGTCAAGTGTTCGAAGGCTCAATTCATTCAATATTTGCATTATTTGCGTTATAAACGCAAATCCTGAAGATGCAGGACTTTGCCAATTCCTTGTGTTCTGTTCAATCGCAAAGGCGCCCGGGCCTAGACATGCCCTGAACTCTACAACTCGAAACACTACTGATGGCTGTTGCAAGGTGGGCATAAGCAAAACCATTGTTTGCGGGGCTCTTGGCTCCAAACATATGGGATTCTGGGATATGAACGTGTTTCTGGATGGAGATTCGAGTGTGCCAAGCTATATACTGTCCCAAATTTACTTTTTCATACTTTTTCTATGCACGTGAGCCGGATCAAGCAAGATCAGTAGTCCGTGGTCCAACAGTGCAACAGTTGTGCAAGCCTTCAGTTTTTGGTCTGCGACTCATGTCCAAAAGCGCGAAAATTAAGGCAACGTTCAGCCTGATAGCTTTGATTCTTGTTATGTTATGTTATGGGTATTTGCTCTATCTAATACTGCCGGACTGAAACTTAGAATGCCGGCCAATTTTCCAAACAAAACTCGTGAAAAGCTTAGAATGCCTGTCCACACTTGGCATTTAGAGTGCCTCCACATTCCCGTATAAAGCCGGCATTATAAATTCAGTCCGGGGTTCAAAACTCTTGAACTCAGCTCGCTCCTTGTTCCCTTCTTGTCCTAGTCCGGTTTCTGCGGTTACGGTTTTCTTTTCTTCCTCTCCTTTCCTTTCCTTTCCTTTCCGTTCCGTTCGGTTCCGTTCCTTCCCTTCCCTTCCTTCCGTTCCCTTCCCTTCCCTTCCCTTCCTTCCCTTCCCTTCCCTTCCCCTTTTCCTTTTTCCTTTCTTTCTGCTTTTCCTTTTGTTTCCTTTCCTATTCCGTGTCCTTTTCCTTTTCATGTGTCTTTCCTTTCCCTTTACTGTATCTGTTCCTTTTCCTTTTTCCTTTTTCCTTGTTCCATCTCCTTTCCTTTCCTTTTTCTTTTTATTGTTATTTCCTTTCCTTCCTTGTCCTTTTCCTTCTCCTTTCCTTTCCCTCCACATTCTGTGGGGGGTGCCTCATTCTAACTCTCCATGCCAAACGCAAAGATATAGCTATAGCGTAAAATATCGCTCCTGCCAAAGAATTTGGTTTGGTGGTAAGCACTCGCAAACGGCATTCTATCTCGGCCAGCCGAACACATGGAGAATCGAAATAAAACAAGTATATAGAGTGTCAACTCTTGCAACTTTAGTTGCACCTGGTGCAGGTCATTCTAAGACTACAAAACACCGCGCCTGTCAGTAAATTTGGTAGGTGGGCAAAAAGTGGGGCAAGCAATGCTGTTCCTGCAATCATTGGACAAACCTCTAGGTGAGCTCTTTTCCAGCACCTACGTCCTACGTGTATGTGCCAATGGGCGAAGGCGTGTTGCATGGACATGTTGATATAGGCCTCCCTTGCTATCAATTCATTGTTGTTCTTCGTCAAGACATTGACAGAACTTGCTTGCCAGCAGGAGAGAAACATATGCCCGTGCCATCACCAACAACCCATTTCTATGTGCTTGCACATGACATCACGGCGGTTCGAACAAAGGCCTCCGAGAAGGACAGCAAAACAGGGCCTGTAGAATGACCGATGAACCACAGAAGAACACTGTCCCACTCTCCAGTCACTGAGAAGTTGATCTTTCCTCGTGATTGTCCATGAGTGCTGGACTATCTAGTTGCTGCTTTTGATACTGCTCCTGCCGTTTCATTGAGTTATATATATATTATATATGTATAAAGTATTGCTCATGACCTTCTGTCTGAGCTGGGATTGCAGAACCCCTCTGGTTGCATTCATTCCCAGACACTGGGGTCTGAAGGCAGGCAAAGCCGCGGTCTGCACCTGCCTGTGTGCGACCAAGGCCCAAGGATCCCAATTGGTGGTGGTGGGAAATACCAGGCTGTTCCAAACTCAGCAGGCAACCTATAATACAATAACTCAATTTGCAGGGGTGATTCGAGCTGAGAGTAAGATAGAGTAAGTTTAGAAGTAGAGCATCTGACTGGACCATGCTAACCTCTTTCAGTTTCACCTCACTTCCTTTCCCTGCCTCAACCGCCATCTGTATCAACGTCCAACCGGCCTTCTGTAAGCATCCCAAGCCTGCAGCACAGCTCAAAGTTCACAAATTGGTTTGGTCGAATGCTTCTATCGTGTATGGCCCAAACTCCAAGTACTGAACATTAATTCAGGAGCAAGGACGCTACTAGTAACAAAGGGCATCGCTACTAGGAGCA